TCATGACTCAAAAAACATTGACAGCAATATTTATAAATTACCTATGAATGAAATTATGAAATCAATGATTAAATTTATATTCATGTTATTGGAAAGCATATCATATCAGATCAGTTGTTTTTTTTTAAAAAAAAAAAATACAAGGACATGGAAAATCTATGTAAAAGTTGAAAAAAATCAGGTCATATTAGATTCCATAAGGAATCTGTATTTTGAAAGCAGATGATTGTAAATAATAAGGTCAAGATTATCTCGAGAGGCTAGGTGAGCGAGCATGTTTACACATCTGTTTGCTTTCCTGAACGTGTGTTCGAAGGTAATGATCTAATCTTTCATAATCAAAATTTTGACTCTGTTGATAATTTTAAAGAGAGAATGGTTATCAAAAAAATTATGTTGAATAAGTTAGAGTGCTTCCACAAAATGAAAGTGAATGTTGATTTATTAGATCAGTTACTTTGTCTATAAGCTTTCATAAATTTTTTTGTGGAGATTTTGTCACCAGAAGCATTGCACAGAATTCTGCGCAGTACAGAAAATTATGACTGTACAAATGGTTTATCTCTTCCTAAATCTATCCTAAAATACAATTTAAATGACGCACGCTGATTTGTGCTTTGTTCCACGGGAGATGATGAAAAGGGGTTTTTTCTTATTTGTTTCCTGTAATTATAGTCATTGGGGGAAATTAAAAACTTGTTTGGTTTATATTTTCATTTTTTGTTTTGCAACACAATTTTTGAAATTATATTTTAAAACAAAATAAAAAGAAGATTTGTTTCGCTACAAGCAAAATAAAATAGTAATTGCTTATGGTAATTATTAGTTTAGGTAACTGTAATTTTCAACAATCAAGTGTAATATATTTTAAAAACAAGAAAAATAAAATAAAATAACTTTAAGATGTTTTTATTTTTTTAGTAAAACAATTTTATGCTTTCATTTGACAGTAAGCCAGATAAAACTTTTTTTTTTTTGGTAATAAGCCACGTAAAACTTTATAAACATATAAAGATCAATATCTCTGTGTTTTCATTTATAGCTATTCTCATACACACTTATATAAATATAACATACGCATATAAACATTTGATTTTCATTTGTCTGAGATTTTGCAAAGAATATTTTAAGCCTCATAAGAAATAATAAACATTTAGTTTTTTTTTTAAAAAATTAATGGTTAAAACCAGGACGGATCAAAGACAACAATGTAGACTTTTTAATTTTTTTTAAATTTTTTTATATTATACAAGCATTATATATTTTTAATCCTCCTAAAATTTATGAAAACTTTATAATATATATGTTTTTTTAATATTGGCCCTTTTTATTTTTAAATTTTGGTTCCACCCTTGGCGCTGAAGACAACAATGTAGACTTTTTCAAGTAAGTAAAATATACCAAAAACCTCTTCTTCAATGGCATCTAAATATCTCATCGAAAAGGAGAGGTTGTAGTTTTGAACTCTAGTGTAAGCAAGTAGTGTGTGACTGTCTATCTCACTTTTTTTTTTTAATGGGGAATGATTAAGTTATGCTTAAAAATTTTAAAAATAAGTAAAATATATTTCCCATTATTATTAATATTATCAGCCACATAAAAAGTAAGTAAAACTTATAACATGAAAGGTACATTTTTTTTTTACCCAATGAAAGGCAATTCAAATTTATTCAATTATTTAGTATTTATTTTTTCTAGTCTTATTTGTAAAACATTTTTTAGAAGTAATTTTTAATTTAAAATGCAGGACACTTTATAATATTTAAATTATTTTTCAAATTTTATTGTTTTTTAATTAACATGAAAGCATTTACTATAATTATATTATTATTAAAAGTCAAGGATTAAAAATGAAGTATATCTCTATTTTTTATATTAAAAAAACTAACTTTTTTTAATGTGTGAGACGATTGAAAATATCTTATAATAAAAATTAAAAAATATACTTTAAACATGAATATGCTTTTTATTAATTTAAGATTGTATAATTTAAATAAAAACAGTTACGAAGAACAAAATAATAATATATTTGACCAGAAAATGAACAAATAATATATATATATATATATATAAAATTATCACATTAAATAAAAGTATTGGACAAAGATTAAAAAAAACTATTAGAAATAAATTGTTTTTAACAGCATTTTTTAGGGACCATAAAGAGTATAACATCTTGAAAAGTTTATGTGAGGATAATTGAGGTTGATTGGGAGTGAATTAACAAATTTTGATTTAACTATGACCGATCATGGAAATCCAAGGCCTGTGAGGCCTTTAGAATCCAAATTATAGGTCTTGATCAGGTCGTAAGAGTGATTGGGCTTTAACAATGTCATTTACATTTCAAAGTTATTCAACTATAACATATTAGGTTTTAATTTCTTCATTTTCTCACATGTAATTCTGCTATTAAAAAAGATAAGATATTTTTTTAGGGTTGAATATTAAAAAATATAAAGTATTTTTATTTTTTAAAATGTAATCATTATATTTTTTTTTAAAAGTGTTCTTATTGAATAAATTACTTTATATTTATTTTAGGGTGTAAATAGAGGTAAATATAAAAAATAAAATTAATTTAAAGATAAATAATTACTTTATTGAAGGTGAGATTCGTTATAAATGCCTTACATTTTTTAATAGAGGAAATATATTTTTTATTCTCCATCCTCTTAATAGAATATAATTTTTTATTTTTTCTACCATTTAATTTATATAATGTCAATTAACAAATCATACACTAAAATTTTTACTATAACAACTCAATAAGTTGACATTAATATTTTAATTGAAATAAAAATTTTTATTATTAAAATAAGAGTAGAGAGAAAAAACAGTTCAAAATGTTCCGTTTCAGATTCTCAAGGATTATGTGCCTGTTTGGTCGTGCCACAAGAATCAATTATATGTACGGAAACCACATTGTGGACAAATACCCAAACACCCTCATTTTTGCCTAATTGATTGTCTTGCGGTTGATTGCGTTGTGCGGGAAGCAAAAGAAGAGTTACTTATCAATTCCAATTATTGCCTTTAGTTGCATTTATAAAGTGTCAGACACCCCTCTCACCTATGCGCCTCGTGATAGAACTGAGAAAATGGATCGATCATTAACGAGCTTGAATTTAAAAAGACCAATTTGAGTTCTATTTATAATCTTGAAATGTGAAGCTCGACTCTTGATGTAGTGGGCTCAGAGTATGGTAGAATTTAAGTTTTTTTAATTATATTTATTTTTTTAAAAAAATTTTATTAAATAAAAAATTACTTCATTATAATATAATACTCAATTAAGAAAAAAATAAGAAAACTAATTAAATAAACATCTAAATGAACTAAAAACATAAATAAAGTGACAACAAGGCAACAAGCAATGGATCAACTAAACCAACAAACTTTCAATCTAAATCAAATAAGACTGAGGGATTGAGATATGGGATTGAGAGATCTAGATGAATCAGGAGATTTAGAATTGTATTTTTGTTGGCCTTTCTTCTTCAGCAAATATGGGCTCACATGTGATGTGGAATAATATTTAATTTAATTTTTTTTCAAGTCCAAAAAAATCAAAGTCATAAAAATTGATTAAAAAAAATATACAAATGGACTTAAATGGGTTAGCTTTTGACCCTTAAGAATCAGCTGTTTAAGCTCAAAATTAAATGGGTTAGCTTGTCTAAACTCAATTTACCATTTTAATGTCATATTTGCAAGTTCCGTCATACTATTATACTAGTTTAAATGGGCTGAGCTCAATGGGCTCGGTTTATTTTCTCGACTTTACTCGTGAATACTCTCAACTCTTTTTCCTCTTCCTCCTAAATGTTTGGTTCTCCATACTCTCGATTATATTATAATATTAATGACGCATATTAAATTACTAGTATTACTCATAATGCAATGTAATTTAAATTTTAATATATAATCAATATGTGTGTGTGTGTGTTAAGTAATTATACAAGTTTTACATACTCCATTCGATCCTACTTATAAGGTACAATTTGAAGATTTATTTAATTTTATCTATAAGTCACGATGCAGCTTCTTAGATAATATTTAAAAGATATTTTTAAAATTATCATTCATAAGAGAGAAAAAGTAACATGATATTACTTTTTAGATTAATATAGAAACATATTTGAAATTTTACACATTTATATTCCTTGTACTTTTTTTTTATATTGACATTGGTGAGGATAATAATATGACTTACAAAGATGACCAAAGGAGTATATGACTAGTATATATATTTTATTTGTTAAATAAATAAAAGCAAAATTAATAATATCATATGAATCTTTATTAATATCACATCTAAAATTAATTCTGACTGGATCATCCAAACATTTTTAATTATGTCAAGATTAATTTCAGAAAAATAACATCCAAGCAAATCATGTTATAATTGAATCAAAATCAATCATATTAATTAATTTTTATAATTATTTATACACAACTAAAATTCAAACAGATCTTATATTAAAACTGGCTGATTTAAAAGTGATCCAAAATGAGTCAATTTCCCAAATAGGTTCATCCCTGATCCTCTTTATATTAAGGTGTGGTCCAATCGGGTTGGATCTTAAAACACTAAATATTATCATTTTTTTAATGGAAATTTTTTTCGAGATTATTTAAAATATCTGCCAAATACTCTCTCTGATTCACTTTATTAATCATCTTTTAAAAAAGTAAAATGATTCATTTTATAAATCATTTGATTGACAATGATGTTTTATTTCAAATGTATAAACTATTTTAAAAAATAAGAGAGAGAAAAACAGAACAATAATATTATATAATTTATTTTTTTAAGGGTTATATTTGTAATTTTATTTTTTGTTGTATTTTTATTATATTAATATTAATAAAATTGATAAAAATAATTTATGAATGGAATCGGATACGGCACAGAACTTTTTAACAAATCGTGCGTGGGAGTGAAGGCAAGAAACGTCAGGAAGGGCAGGCCTCCTATAAAATGATCCAACGAAGTAAAACGCATCAGAGCAGGAGACAGAAAGGGCGGGTAAATTCCTTCCTTCGTTCCTTTCTCCGGGGTCTCTCCTCTCTCTTTCTATTGTCAAATGGAAGGCGAAGAGAGGGTCAGCTCCGCCGCGGCCCCCGACTCCCATCCATCGCAGCTGCTTCACGATGACGGTGGTTCCGATCCCGCGGATGAAGTCGCCGAGCTTGAAATTCATTCTCCGTTGTCGGACGAAGAACAAGATCAAGAGCAGGAGCACGACCAAGAACACGATCAGGATCACGCAGCTGAGACGGTTACCTCCGTGGACGATCTCAAGCTCAAGATCATTAAGCAGGCAAGACAATCTGTTTCTTTTAGAAGTTTTAGTTAACCTATTTTCAAGAAACTGCTTATCATCTTCTGTGTAATTTGCTTTTAGTGCGGAATTGGCTTTGTGGTGTTTGATTGCTGCGGAAATGCTTGGAGAAATGGGAGATTGATTGAGCAGAATGGTGTCTTCAATTTATTTCGACATCATTGCATCATTTTTTTATTGTTGAACTAACTTATAATGTAATCCAGTGTGTTCTTTTAGATAACCGAAAAAATGGAGGATCATTATGAGATCCTGACTTTGAGTTGAGAGGGAGATGGAAAATGACGAAGGAAGAAAATAAAAGATCAAGCTTTTCGATTATCAAGAGAACATATAAAACTAAAAAGCTCAAGCTTCAATACAAGCTGATAAGATCATAACAAACTTAAACGTTACATTTTTATGGATGAATTTTCTTTTGAGTAACCAGATAACTTGACAATGAAGGATTTGAACTTATTCTATGATAAAAGTGTTATTGCGGACCTGGAAGTCTTAATCATTTATTTGAGCACTTGAATTAGGGCTTTTTCATCAAAAGGAATTATATATTAGTATTATAATACTCAATTATTCATTTTTGCTTCTATCTTAAAAACATATTGATAAGAGATAAAATTTTAAATATTTGTCATTGTTCGGTGCTTGATCTCTTCTCTACTTCATTACGCCTTGTTTTAGTTATTACCTTATCACTATGACCTTGCTGAAATTCGGTATGGATGTTCAGGTTGAGTATTATTTCAGTGATGAAAATCTGCCAGCTGACAAGTACCTAATTGGTTTCCTCAGAAAGAACAAGGAAGGCTTTGGTTAGTATTTTGGTATAATCTGATTTCAACTTCAGCATTGTTAAAATTAGATTTATGATATATTTTGCCTAACTTATTCAAATGTGTTCTACATCATGCCTTTTGCACCCTAAAGACTTCTTCCTTTTTTTGAGATTTTCTTTTCCGAGTGAAAAATATATACTGGTTTCTTCATAAAAAAGTATATGTTAGTTTGGATAAAGTGGATAACTTCTTGTGGATGGTCTATATAGAAGTCAAGCGTTGAATATTCATCTGTCTTTGAAACCCCTGCTTTTTTGATCTGATTCTTTACACTAGTGCTTAAGAGTTACTCCTTTGATAACAAAGTCATTTGAGAATGTCAAGATGTTGTATATTTCAATTTTTATTGGAGACTTGTGTATGTGTGGTTGGTATTATGTGACAAAAGTTACTGGTTTACAATAGGGGATTAAACTCATTACCTTCTTTTCTTATTTTGGTAAATGATAGAATCAAAAACCATCTTGTTAGTGCAAGACCGATCTTGCAGAATTTCTCCATGATCAAACATTCTGCTGAAGTTTGAGTCGTAGAGTGCACAGATAAAATCTCTCTGATGCAGAACCAGTAGCAATAAATAGAGAAAAAGTATGAAGGGAAGGAGAATGAGGGAGATGTAGAGAGAAATAGACAGGAGAGACAGTTGATAAGCCAAGAGAACATTATTAATAATGAATCGAAAGGATACTTCAACCTTAATACAAAAGCATAATCAAATTTAAAATAGAACCAATTAAATAAGGAGCCCATTTTTAATTCTTATAAGGAAAGCATAAGGAAAGAGGTCAGTTCTTGTGTAATGAAAAAGATTCCTTTCATGGATTTTCTTGATGTGGAGGAGGGACTAACTAGGGCTGGATCTGAGGCATTTGTTTGTTACAGTCTATCATGAAGGATAAGAGAATAATATTTGAGGGCAGATAGAGGGGGACAAGTGAGGGAATTTAGATCCAAGTTGATAATTTACCATCTTTAGTAAGTTACTCACAAAACAGGAACTAGGAAGTACGTAAAAATCTCTTTATGTTTTTGGGAAGCAGTCCAATTCTTATTTGGTGAGGATTAGGGACCTTGATTTATTTTTCAAGTAACTAACTAGTTGAAATAGAAAGAATTGCAATGCTCTAATCATTAAGTAAACCCAATATCAAATCAAATATGCCTATTTAGTGTTCATAATCAATATCATTATGGGCATCTTAAAGTCATGTTTCATTAGTTTCAGATATTGTTCAGATTTTATTATTTTGACTAGTGAAATCAATTTTAACATGTAAAACTGGACACAAACTATATATATGAAGTTCTAAATGCTTTTTACAGGAGCTTTGGTAAATTTGATTTAGCTAGTTTGTTACTTTAGCCTAATATTTGTTCAACTTGATTTTAAATATTTTGACGGAACATATTCAAGAGGAAATTCCGAAATGTATGCTCTTCGCGGATGATATAGTTCTTATAGCAGAGACAAGAGAAGAGGATAATTGCAAACTTGAGTTATGGAGGAGGACATTGGAGTCGAAAGGTTTTCGTCTGAGTAGAAGTAAGACGGAATATTTATATTGTAAATTTGGTAAAGGAATATTCGACAATAATTTGGAAGTGAAATTGGGAGATCAAATTATACTTCAAGTGGAAAAGTTTAGATATTTGGGAGCCATTATTCAAAATGATGGCGAAATCAGTGGAGATATTTTACATAGAATTGAAGCTGGGTGGTTTAATTGGAGAAAAGCTAAAGGAGTTATTTGCGACCGTAAGGTGCCTAATAAACTTAAAGGAAAGTTTTATTGCACTGCTATCAGACCGGCAATGTTATATAATGGTGAATGCTGGGCTCTAACGGGACAGCAAGAGCATAAAGTTAGAGCAGCAGAGATGAGAATGTTACGATGGATGTGCGGACATACACGTAAAGATAAAATTCGAAATGAGCACGTACGCGAAAAAGTGAGGGTGGCACCTATTGAGGAAAAAATGATAGAAAATCGGTTGAGATGGTTTGGGCATGTACAAAGAAGACCAAGGGAGGCATCATTGAGAAGAGTGGAACATATAACTTTGAGTCCGATTAAGAGAGGTAGAGGAAGGCCTAAGAGAACCCTCGTGGAAGTTGTTGAACGCGATCTCTTAATTAATAATATTCCTAAAAACTTGATAAATGATAGAGCACAATGGCGTCTTGCAATCCATGTAGCCGACCTCACCTAGTGGGATAAAGGCTTGTTGTTGTTGTTGTTACTTTAGCCTAATATGAGGCTTTTTATATGAAAATCAGGACTCTTGTTGGTAAGAATACCTTTCATCTTTATTATCTTGATGTGGCCTGAGCCTGATAGGATGTCGCTCTTTTAGCATTGTCATAGTAAATGCATATCTATCTTCTGTTTACTTACATTATATGCTTTTGGTTATTATTAAATGGTTGGGTGGCGTGAATACATGGGAAGGATATTTCTTTGCTTTCCTTTTGACTGTAATGGTTAAGGAGACATCTACTACTTTCCGAACGTTTTTTTAATTGTTTAGTTGATCCAATACTCCATATAATGCATGAAATTATCACATTTATTTGTTTATAGCTCTTTTCATGTATACTTTTATCCTATCGTGTAATTCTTACTTACTTTGATCATGCAGTTCCTATATCAGTCATTGCTTCTTTTAGAAAAATGAAGAAGCTTTCTCAAGATCATTCATTAATAGTTGCTGCACTGAAGGAATCTTCCCTACTTGTAATAATCCTCTTTCCTTCTTTTGTCTATATAATTCCGTATTTGAAGTTTTATGGGAAATTTTCTCTTGTCGAGAATGTAGGTTGTCAGTGGTGATGGGAAAAGTGTTAAGCGGCTCAATCCATTTCAACTGCATGAAGCGAGGGACCCTAAGGTTTTTACTTCAGGGAGAACTAAATAGTTATTTTCATACTATTCATTTTATGTAATCTCATTCTTGGGTTCTAGTTTTTTACTGTTCTGGTAGAAAATTTGCCTGAGGACCGCTCAAAGGAGAACATTCAGCATATTTTTAGTGAAGCTGGAAAGTATGATGTCTTCCTCAATTTATGTTTTAATCTTGTTATCATGGTGCTTTTCAGTTGCTTAAGTTTTCAGTGTCTTCTGAAATGCAGTATAAAGCAGATAAGCATTCATGATCCATGTGCTATTGAAGGGTCTCAAAAATCTAGGAAGCAGAAGATGATTAGTCGCAAGGTAGGGAATCAGGTCTTGTTGTATGCTTAAATTCTTGTTTTGAAGATTTGAACTGTGTTGGGAGCAGATGTTAACAAGTAAAACTTCTAGAAAGATGTTAAAATTAGTTATATGAAGTTTTGTAAGCTTAGGTGACTAGCCTGATTGGGTCCAGCTCAACTTGCCAACATAAAATGCTGGAAGGTCCGGAGGTGCGGGAAAAGAAAAATTATGAATTGTCACATCCTTAAAGAGAGAAACAAGGGATATATAGCTTTTCATTCCTCTTAGGAAAATAGATTTGGCCTTTTTGGAAGTAGAGTTAGATATGCATTGCTTTTTAGAAATTAGCAGTCCAATCTTGAAGAACTGAAGCAAGCAAGATTCATCATGTTATAAAATATTGAAATCCTTAGATAACTTGTTTGGAGCAAGATGTTTAAATATTTCATCTCGGTGTAGAAGATAGGAGTTTTATGTTATCAGAAAGACCTGACAATTTAACAAGCTTTCTCAATAGAGGCTGAAGTGTTTCTCTCAAAGGGAGGAGAGCTCCAGAGAAGTTTGAGGTCAGCTTGCTGGAAATTTAGATAAGAGCGGATCAAGTGATAATTCTGGAAGAATGAGTTAGATGTTCTTCTGGCAGAGGTATTTTCTCAGGGTACTTGGAATTGCTGCAAGACATTTTAGGAAGGAAACTAGAAGTTTTTTTTTTGGGCCCAAGGAAACTGAAATTTATAAACTGAAAGGAATATTGTAGACACCCTTACACTTAAAAAGAAGATTTTGAATTTGTGGAACAGATCTAGGATAATTGACCCTAAATTTGCAAGACAATATTGAATGACTTTGCTGTGAGGTCAACAGTATGGTTTTCTTTTTGCCTTATTCAACTAGGAGATCAAACTTTCCTAATTTTGTTTGAACAGTGTAATTAATGATTTAGTTTCATAATTCTGGTTGCTGTAAATTCTTTCCTCTTCTTCCGATGAGAGTTTTAAATGTTTTGGTACATAATATTTCTCACTCTTTGGGAATTTAGGCAGTGAATTAAAATATATATGGGGATCAGGGTATGTAAGATCCACGATTGATCTAGAAATTTTAAGTTATTAATGAAAGCACAATTGGTAATTTACCATGAAGCCTCTTATTCAGGCATGCCAAATTCGCACATTGTTTGAACTGGCATGTATTTCATGGGAATCTCTTGTCTTCAGGCACATCATGGATGTCAGTGCCGTAATTTATATCTAATTTACGTGTCTAAGATACCCAGGAACTTATTTGGATAAAAGAGTATGGTCTGCCAACCACGTCCTTGGTATCCAGTTGCAGGTTAAGGGTTTGCTATAGACTAGCCCGTTTGCCTCCTGGTAGAGCATAGTATTTGCTGAGTTTTATGTTGGCAAAATTGAGAAAGTTTACCATTTCCCATGATCTCAGCTATTAAGAAGAGGTTAAAGAAACGTGATTTTAATACTGCTTAGGACATGGAGATTAATCCTGTATGCTTAGGACTTCAGTACTCTATGACACAAAATCTACAAATTTATGTTGAAAAATATGAATATTCATGTTCTAAGTTATTCCTTTATTAAGATTACAAAACAGATTGCAGCTTCTTTATACAGGCACCTTTTGTGGGTTCAGTCAGATCAATATATTTGGTGCTATGATGACTTTCAATATACTTGAGATACCTACTTGTGGGGGAATATTGCTGCTTGAGTTGCAACATTGAAGTGTCATTTGCATCTTTTACTATGTCATAGATGTATCATATTTCTATTCTTTTCTTTTTTTATTTTTTCCTATCCGTAGTTTTGATAATGCTGACGTATGAGCAGGACAACAACTTACTAATTGAACAATTGCGTTAATTAATTGCTAGAAGCTTAGCAATTTCAGTTATTTTGTTGTAAAAGTTGTTTCAGTTTTTGTGGAAAGTATCCCAAATTTTGAGATGGGACAGCTTTCTTATCTATTCCTTTTTAAAACTATCCATGAACTCATTGCAACATCTGGGCATTTTATCGTACCTGTTATATTCTGCTCTTCCATCGGAATTGGTATATGCTTATTTGTTTTTCACTTACATCATCATTCTACACGCGTAGTTACATGCTCTTGTGGAATACGAGACTATTGAGGCTGCTGAGAAAGCTGTGAGTTTTAATTTATATATTATAGTTATAATATCTTTTGGTCTTTGTCACCATCATTATTAACATAATGTTCATGCTTTCTTAAATTAGGCGGCTACTTTAAATAATGAACAGGACTGGAGGAATGGCATGCGGGTTAAAGTTCTTAAGAAAATGGTTAGCCCCAAATTTATTTCCGTTCTTTGAAAGTAAACGGTGTTGACGGTGATTAAATTATGTAGACCAAGCATGGACACAGAAAGCAAGCTTGGAAAGGGTCTGATTCTGAGAAGAATAGCACAAGAACTAGCCGTGTATCTGAGTTAACAGGAGATGAGGAGCATCATAGCTCTAATGAGCATAATGAAGATACACATGATGAAGAGGTTTGCTTTCTTACAAATAATTGTCGTTAAAATGGATTCTTTTATTGATATAAAGCATCTAGTTAATTTGTACCCTCTACGAAGTTTTACAATTTCTTTCGAACAAGCACCTGCCAATTATTATTTATCGTCTCTTCTGTGGAATCCCCAACACCGCCCCCTTCAAAAAAAAAAATCAAATCTTCGGACGATTGCAAATTTACAGCAAACCTATTATCCTCTTTTTTTTTTTTTTTTTGTGCAGTCATTGATGGACGCACAATACAAACTGATTGGGGAAAGATTTAGGTCCTTTGTCTTATTTACTTTATATTCTTTTCTCCAATCAAGTCAAAACAAGTAGATTTTAAAGTTGTTAATAAGAGTTTGTTATGGAATAAATAATATATAAAATATCTTCATGTCTTAATTTAATTGAAAACAAGCACTTTAAATGTATTAGTTTTCTTCAACTGATAATATGATCAGTTTAGATTTGCTTATGTTGATTTCTTTTCATTGCAGGATGGAGGAGAACATTTGTCGAAGGATAGAGGCGGGCAGAGAAATCGAAATAGGGGGTGCTCAAGAAAACATAAATATCGAGGCATGCATGGAATGGGTATGTTGCATTGCAAAAGCTACTTCTCGAAACCTTTTTCCTTGCTCTCTCTAAATTTTGGGTTCTATCTGGTTAAACTTGTATATTAAAGGGGAAGCCTCTCTTGTTGATAACTTGTTCGCTTGGGACTGAACCTAACAATTAAAACCGTTGCTACCCTCAGGCCATGGAAGTACTTCATCTTCTCATCATGCCACTGAAGCACCAAAGCCACCTCCGGGACCAAAAATGCCCGACGGCACTAGAGGATTCACAATGGGCCGAGGGAGGGTTCTTGGATCCTCTCCAAGTTAGAGATCCATGGGGTGGTGATCTTTTAAGATGGAGCTGCCAATTCCAACTCGATACCGATACTAAATACAAATCGACACTTGATTATATTTAAACGCCATATACTATATATGGTCACTCGTTTATCGTGCTTGTATCACAGATTCATGGCATTATGGATCCCATGTCAATATGTTGCGAAACTAGGACAAGCTTTGATGCCAGATGTAAAAAAGATTATTTTGGACTTTCTGTCATTTGTATTGTTCTGTCGGCGTGTTTCTAGGAGTCATCAACGTCCAAGGGATGGTTTCACTGCTAGTTTTGGTGGGCTCTATCTTGTGAGATTCATTGTTGCTCTACTTGCTAGCAGGCATATGGCCAACTAGATTTTTTGTTTGCTTGTTTTTGTTGGCCAAAAATTCTAAAGGTTTTTATTTCATTGTTTATTTTATATTTCTGATGAGAAATCTCTGTACAGAATATCATTGTGATCAATGAGATGAAAATCCGTCATCCGTGTTCCTAGACAGATTTCTATTGAAAACATTCCTTTCTTTCTGCTCAATTGAAGGTTTCGGTCTCATGAATGTCTTCAAGTTTAAATAGTAATACGCGCTTTGTTCATCTGTTATTAAAGTTTGGTTTTCCAGGTTTCAGTTTGGCTTTTTCCTTGTGAGTTTGATCCCAGTTCCTATATTTTTCGAAAAGTCAATTCTGTCTTTTTACTTCAATTTTTTATTTTTATAAATACTAAACTCTTTTGATAACGTATTTAAGCATGATAATTTACTTTGAAAACTAAAGAAAAAAAAAAAACTAAAGTTAAAACGGCTAAACAAAAGACAAAGGGCATTTCTTGACCAGGGTTCGCTTACTCAAGATCATGATATCTACTGATATATATGTATATATTAGCAACAAATTCAACAAATATGGGCGCGCGCTTGTGTGTGTTTTTATGCTAAAGCCTATATAGCTAATTATATTATTCATGTTATAAATATTGACTCAATCAATTGGACTCTGCAATGTATGTTGAAATATATGTAGTTGATACTTCCTTCTATTTTAATACTCTGATAAAGTTAATCAATTTTATAGTTCTTAATAAATAATAATAATCATTTTTAAACTTGTAAAAAATATTTTACTTTTCAATTTCATCCTCACTAAATTAACGAACACAATAATGTGTGTTTGAAAATTACAATTTAGTACAATCTAGAAGGGATAATATTAAAAAAATTAATTCCTACACCTCTGTCTTATATTTAAGACCAAATAGGCCTTTAAAACTCTATCCTATAATTAGGCTTGAAGGAGTATATTAATCCAATGTCAATGTCAATATATAATAAAACAAATAACAAGTTGGCATTATATACAAGTAGTATGTGGCCCGTACGATGTATGAGATGTGAAAATTTTGAAAATAATTTAAATAAATAATAATATTTGCTTAAAATCAAGAATAAATTGCCTTTATATAAAAATGATTAACTCATAAATTACATTTAGATATATTACAAAAACCAAAATGTAATAATATCACAATGTATGATGATAAAAGTCATAAAACACAACTTAATACCTTATTCAATAATTGGAATAACTCATATCTTATCTTAAAAACTCAGTCTCTATTGTTATTATCAATACAAAAATAAGAACATATGTGTTCTAAAAGTAATGCCTCCACAATCTATAATGGACAAATTCATATATTTAAAGTAAATAATAAATTATAAAATGCATCTATAAGGATTTTGTTTTTAATATACTAAGAATTTATGACATAAACTTCACTTATACCATATTACGACTGAGCCTCAAAATCGCAACCATTTAGTTCAATCTTACTTCTCATTTAGTTGACCCACTCTCATGCTTTATCTTCCTTTTCAACTTGATCTCCTAATTTGAGAGCCTATCCAAAAAGAGTTAAAATTAATATTAAGACAATAATGATTTTTATCAAATAAGTTGGTTTCACTTTTGATAGAAAAAATCTAATGAGATGGAACTTTCTTCTCTTAAAGCATCTTAAATTGAGTTGGCATCCAACATAATGAGGGAGACAACTTGGTATGTAGTTGAAAAACTTGATACTTGAGTGTCAAAAAATCTGCCTTTTTGTTGAAGTACGAATTTCAAGTATTCCATTCTCATTCTAAAGTCTATCTCATTGAAGTTTTTTCCCAACAATTCCTCCTATAATAGCCTTATTCTACTGTAACCTTAAAGCCTATTATAAAAACAAATTGAATAGCAATAAAAAAATGTGTGGTTTTTACAATTAAGCATATGTTGTGGAAATTACTTATGAATATGGCATAGAATGAATATTTCATTGAGAAAGCTAACCTTATTTATATCATGCTTTGTCAAAACAATATTTGGGTCTTTATATGCATTAATCACATCACTAAGAAATTAAGAACGTCGTGAGAAGAACTTGAATATCCTTTCTCTAAAACTTCCCAGCATCCTAAACAATGTCAAAAACTTGTCTACCATATCTCCATATCGAAATATGCTTTGTAGCTTTTTCACTAATCTCTCACCCTTTTCACACAAAAACCATCACAAACCTTGCGTGCTTCATGGCTTTGATCTCATCAATCATGTAAGCATAGGAATGATGATAAGGGAAAATTATACTTTGATTTTTGTGTCTTTTATATAAAAAAATGAATTAACATTCTAAAAACTGAATGTGAAAGTGGTATGTACGGTTGCATTGAGACTATTTTGTTTGAAACTATAAATGGGATTGGTCTTTGATAGTTGGGTAGGGATGTTATGAAAATTAAAATTTCTCCTTATCTTTTAAATTTAATTTTAAAATTGGAAATAAAAAGTTTGGAAGATATGACGATGGGGAAGTTTTTAAGTGGAAAGAGTTGCTACGATAGTAGAAAAATTTTGAGATATAGGGGGAGTTATAGTGTTTGATTTTTTTTATTTATTTGTGTATATTTAAAAATATTAAATTTAAATAACATTAAGGAAGTTGTGATTAAAGTAGATAGATTATGAAATCTGAAAAAACAGGAGAAATATCCCAAAAATTTAAAACATATAAATTAGATTATTTTATAAAAAGATAAGTAAAATCGGATGTAGGCCACGTTATAATGTTTGATTTTTTTTTTTAAATTTTCTTCATGGTGGAGACGTTTTCTTATATCTTTTAAAAATGTTAAATTTAAATAACATTTAGGGTGGTTAAAGTGGATAGACTGTGGAATCTGAAAATTAGGAGAATATAAGAAAACTTTAAATATATAAATTACCCAATGTTATATAACATAATTAAAATTGGGTTTCGGGAGAGTTGTTAGATTTTTTTTTAAGTCTTTGCATAGTAGATACTTTTTTATATATTTAAAAATATTAAATTTAAATAACATTTAGAAATTTAAGATTATTTATTTATTTAGGAAGTTAGGATTAAAATGGATAGATTGTGGGATCTGAAAATCTAAAAAAATATAAAGAAATTTAAAATATATAAATTAGATTGTTTTATATAATATTATTAAAATCAGCATGGCTCTTTAAAATTACAACATTTTGTAAGTTAGACATGTGTCAAACTTAGAAGATAAATTTACATTATACTATATTGGAGTGATAAATTTAATATAATGAAAATGACTGTTATATTTTGTCAATCTTGATTCTAACTATTAAATGACAAGTTGCTTGTTGTCATGATATATTTTAGTAACAATAAAATAATTTATTTTAATAAAATATAAATAGAAAGTTGAGATGATGGAGAGATGTTTGGAGATAAGATAGTTTTATCTATTTTAAAAATTCACACAATAAATAATAAATAAATACATGTCACATTTGTTGTCATTAGATGTTAATTGCAATTCTATCTTTTTATGAAGTGGAAATAATGAGGAGATACTTGAATAAATGGTAGTTTTATTTATTTTTAAAAATTAAAAATTAAAAAAATATATCAAAAATAGAATTAAGGACACATGTTTTCGTTAGGTGTTGGTAATAAAATTAGGGGCTTGAAGGAGTATATTAATCCAATGCCAACGTCAATATATAATATATAATAAAACAAATAACAAGTTGGCATTGTATACAATTTATGAATAGTATGATTTATTTATCAAAATAAGTAGTCACTTGAGTTATTATATAAGTTGCTTCTAACTAACTCGGCAAAATTAAGATGAGTTAGTTAGAATAATAAAAATTATTTTAAGAATAAATCATTTTTTATTTTGTTTTTAGATATAAAAAGAGTGATTTCATGTATAAGAAAAGTTTTTTAAAAAAATTGAAATATTACATTTTTTTTAGAATTTTCCAAAAGATATTTTTAAAATTGTATATCAAAAGTTATAAAAATTACGACGAAGTGATTTATATAAAGAATCAAAAAAATATTATATAAAAGGACTAGAAGGAGTATGATACATAATAAATATGTCTTATATTTAATAAATTTTATAAAAAAAAAATCACGCTATTCACATAAATTGTGTAACTTCTTTTTCAAAGCATACATAAAATTTAGGAAAATAAGACAAAAATGAAAAGTGAAGAATTGCCATTGAGAGTGCCATGTCCCTCTCAGCCAGGGGCTTACAAGCCCTTCGGTCTTCCAATGGCCAATGATGACAAACCCCACTGAAGTTGACATCTAACCTTGTTTCAGACAAATCCAATGACAATGACCTCAATTTTAAACTATATTCAAAATAAGAAGAATTGAAGCTGGGTAAGATTTAGTTGACAAAATAAATTAATTAAAAAAAGTAGTGAGTATGACGTCGAACTATCTCTTATAATCTCTTTTATCATATCAAACAGCCCCCAGTGTTCATTGTGCTAAAATAAATATTCCGGTAACTGAACATTTTATTTTGCTATTTGCATTAGTCAAACCATTTTTTTTAATGACATAAATAAGTTGCAAATGCGGAACTCCTAGCACTAGTTGAAATAATTTTTTCTGGGGTCAGTTTGTTCTGATGCCTATCTTGATAAAATTTTATTTTATTATTTTTTTATACCTGTGATCCATAAATTTATTTGTTTTTTTTTGCCAATCATAAATTTATTTTTTTACCTCTATAAAAGACTACAGGGTGTTTGTGTGTTGAAAAGAAACATTAATGCTATATTTAGATATACATAGATTTAGATTTAAATTTAAACTAAATTTATTATTTGAATAATTAAAAATATATGAATTTGAATTTGATCCAAATCCAAATCCAAGTTCTCACTTAATCTTTTTATAATTTAAAATCCTTTCTAAACCTATATTATTTCAAGTCTTACTTTAATTTTTTTGTAATTTGACCTAAATACATGAAGGTTTGATTGACTTGCCAATGGTAATTGGATTGAATCACCAAAGTTGATAGAAACAAGTTACCATAGTTGATCGGGACGGGACAGCTGACTTTCACCGGAGCCAAACCAATGGTGACTACAGGGATGGGACGGCAGACTTTCACTTGGACTGAACCGACGGCGACGATGGGGACTAGACGATTGACTTCCAACGGCATAGGATCAGACCGACAGTGACAGCAACCAAACTAAAGGGATGGCGACAGAAGGTGATAGTCCGATCCTCACCTAATGGAAGTTGGACTTTTGGTCTTTGTCACTGCTGTCGGTTTAATGTCGATGGAAGACTACCATTCGATCCCTATCATAATAATTGATTTGATCCCGATGGAAGTCGACTGCCCAGTTCTGTCATCCCAATCGATCCAGTCCCCGTCGATCAAGTCTAGGTGCAAGTCGGCCGTCTTGTCCTAGTCATTGAAACAGTTTGGTCTCGGTGGAAGTTGGAGGTCCTGTCCCAGTCATCACCGATACCACAGTCTCAGTTTGTCTAATCCCATTAAAAATTGGCCATTTAAATCGTCGAGTTTGACTAATCTTCTAAATTTCTTTTAGATTCAAATATTGAATTTAAATTTTTTATTATTATCTAAACAAAAAAATTAAAATCTATAAATTTTAAATGTGAGATTTTAAATATAAAATTTTAAATTCAAAATTTTTAATTTAAATTTACCCATCTAAATACAACCTAAAGTAATTTTAGTTAACTTCAAGATGTCGTTACTGGATACTATTTAATGGCTTATTCCGTTATCCCATTAAATCAATTTAATTGTTTTCATGTCTCTTTCAAATAAAGAATAAAAAAATATTTTTTCCACACCTTTTGACTAAATTATTCAAGTGTAATTTTTAGACATTTATTATTAAATATATTTTATTTAATACTTCCTTTATATCAAATTATAAAATAGCTTTAAATAATTTTTGTCCCAAAATACAAGATAATTTAAGAAAAATAAAGTTTTATTAATAATATTTTTTTAATATTACCTTTTAAGTAGAGAAGGAATTGAAACGATATTGTAGCACACTTCCCCTATGCCATAATATAGGACATCTTTTAAAAGTCTTGCTTGGTCTTAAATATAGGATATTGGATAACTTTTATAATTATTTTTTAATCATACTCTTTCTTCATTTATTACTCTCTTTTTTTAAAAAATGATATATTGAAATTATGATTATCAAAGCACTTAAATATGATATTTTTTTGCCTCAATTTATAAAACACTTTTATGAAAGATTTGACATCCTGAAATATAAGACACTTTAATAAAATTAGGATTTTATTGAATAGGTTTATTATAATATCATCCATTCTTTCTATATTTAATTTATTCTCTCTCTTTTCAATATATTAAATGACGAGTATTTTTAAAAGTTTATATTTTTATATTAAAAAATAAATTTATTAAGTATATTTAATAAGATTTATTAGTATGTTTGATTTTATTAAAAAGTATCTTATAACTTAGAACAGAAAGAGTATTTAATAATAGCAAAATTTAAAATATGTAAATTTTTTAAGAAATTAAGGTTTAAACTATTTTTTTTAGAATTGTAAATTAATTACTAATATCTTATATTTTGATTCGGAGCGAGTAATAATTAGGCATGTAGGAACATTTTTGAAATCTTATAGTTTTGTTGTGAAAAAGTAAGTTTGTAATAATTAAATGTGTAGGAGCATAATTATCTTAAATTGTCTTATAATTTTTGGACAGCAGGAGTATATGGCAGCTATACAATTCTTTTTTTGAAAAAATCATTATACTTATTTACAAGACTATCAAACTCATGAGTTTAAGTAAACTTATGAAAAGGATATAATCTCAAATTATAAACTCACAAGAGTTTATTTTTATTAATAAATAAATATTAAAAATACATAATTAAGTAATTAAAATATAAAATATAATAATAATTTAATTTAAATATATTTTAAATATAAATTATGAAAATTAATCCATTCACATTGAATGATATCATACCCAACATAAAATTTTCGAAACATGTCAATTTATTTTTGGTATTTCTTATTTTCTTTTTATATTAATATTACTTTTTGCTTTTTGAGACTTATTTTTTTAATTAAATCCTACCACTTTTATGAATTAATTTTTATATAGTATATATTTAATTTGCTCAACTTAATAAAAAATTAGTAAGTTTAATTAAATTTGCATTTGATTTAAATTTATGAACAAATTAATAAGATTTTATAAGTTAAAAATATAAAAACAATAAATTTAAAAATTAAATTTATAAATTTAATTGATTTTGTACATAGTTGACATTTATAAACAAATTAACGTGATTTCATAAATTAAAAATGTAAAAATAATAAATTTAAAGAATAAACTCTATGATTTTACGATGCGGAGACACGAAAAAGGCCATGCAATCACAAGTCACAACAGGCGGTATTTTTTGGTCCAACACAACAAATGCGAGACAGAATACAAAAGCGCGTGACATCACGCTCCTCGAGGCGCGTCTTACTTAGCAAACGCCTGCGATGATTTCGAAGTAAGCAACGGCCGGTGTCTCAGCTAAACGATGTTCATTTCGGCGTTTTCAATTTTCAGCAACTTTCTCCACAGTCCACATTCTATTACCCACTATGCTTGCCTATATATATATATAAGCCTCTTCCCTCGAATATGCTTCTTCGCTTCCTTTTCTTCAATGGCATGACCATCTCGTCCTCCTCCTTCCCCAACCTCATCTCATCTACTACTCTCCTGAGATCTTCCTCTTCTTCGCCTTCTTCTTATCTGCAATTCCGTCGCGGCGATGTATTCTCATTCCCGTGTCCTCAGCCACCACTATCTCCTTCTCGCATCGCACAAACACTTCTCTCGCGCTATAGCTTCTCAAGGTCAATCTTCTTCGTTCGTTCGTTACAGCTGTTCCCATTCCTGTTCCCCTCGGGTATATTTTCGTGTTGATCTCCCTGCTTCCGACTTCCTCTTATGCTGTAATGCCTTTTCAAATATGATTTTGTTTAATTTGTTGTCATTTTTTCCGCCCGATAATAATCCATCAATTGAAAACTTTGAGGTTGCTTGAACTCTTATTTGCTGACCACTGCTTTTGTTGAAGCTAATAGTTTGGTTGAGACAACAATTATAAAGAAGGAAGTTCAAAACAGTTTATTTACTGGAATATGTTAACCTGTAATCTTGAATCTTTGAAGTATTGTAAAGAAAAGAGCTCTGGATTCCTTACAGATAAACGTGAGAACAACTCGACATTAAGGAGGTCATATGATTTACAGAATAGATGCTCATAGTTATAATTTTCACTACTATCAATCAGCATACATTAATATTTCGAACTACTCATTGAAGGGATTTCTCTGGCTGGCCTTTGAAGTGTCATAGATCTCTGATTGTAGATTGAAGTCATTAAACAATTAATAAACAATCTAATCTGCCTCCTACATCTGATTGTAGATTGAAGTTATTAAACAATGAATAAACAATCTTACCTTCCTTCTACGGTGATATCGCACCTGGAAAAACCTTGGTCGTAGGTGTCTGGTCTTGGTTATTAATTTCCTTATTTGAGGCCTCACATGTAGAGCATCATTTTTAAAGAGTCAATTCCGTGGGGTTCAGTTCCTGTTATCTATTTTAATTTGAAAGTTGAGTAGCCAATGTCTAAGGCACTGTAGAGTAAAACATGAATCTTAGAACTCTACATCGCCTGGGACTTTTGATGGAAAGTTGTGAAAGACCAACTTTAAGCTTAGGAAATACTATTAGGAATTCTGTTATTCTTTTGTTTCCACGATAATTATCTTTTATTATCCTTTTGTTTAATTTATTTTTCAGCTATCTTGTTACCTCTTGGGCTTTTTTTAAAGTCCTTAGTCATTAGGCTAGCTCAGTTTTGATTAAATTAATAAAATCCCATATATTATATTGCCTTTTATCTTTTCTTCTCCCTTCTTCTCTAGTTCTCCCTCCTCTCTCTTCCTTTCTCTCGTTTCTTTACTGGCTCTACATCAACTTGCTATTTGCTAAGCTCACAACTCATAAATCCCAAGGGCCAGAATTGGAGGCTTACTACGCGGAACATTTTTCTACTCTTTCATTGTAGAATTTGTTACTTTGTGATTTTGAGACTGTTAGTCTTAATGTCATCTCGATCCTATGTTCACCAATTAATAGCTTTTCATTTGCATATCATGTAGGTTTTTTATGAGATGCTTTTCCAATCTGAAACCAATAAATTTTTTACCATGTCTTCAACTTTAACTTTTATGCATCCAGTGCTAATAATTTAAGGCCTGCTTTATTTTGTGCAGTTGAATCCATTGATTATTCAACAATATAGATGCTGTGGTCAATGTAGTGTTCTTACTAGAGCCTTTGGTGAGGTAAGTTACCATTTCTCTAGAGCCAATATATTTATATATATATATTTTGGATACAAATTTGACACTTCATGCTAATTTTTCTTGAAAAATATGCGCAGAATAGCATTTGTTCTTCTCTGCATTTATTAACACACTTAGTTCCATATTTCTATTCCCTTGACCCATATTTAATCTGTCTTTTCCACTGAAAATGCAGATATTGAGTCTTAAATAAAAACTATGATGGGTTGTCCTGACTATTTCAGTTTATAGGTGGTTTGAAACTCTTGGCTTTCCAATTAATTACATTATGTTGGGCCAATTTAGAATGTCTAGAAGAGACTGATTAGCGGGAAAGGAGAAACTATCTTCATGTTTATTTGAAGCCATCTCTGCCTTCCTCAGCATTCCTCTCTGTCTGTGCATTTTTGTCTGTATAACATTCTATCCCCATTCAGGGTTTACAATGGGGAGGGGAATGCATCACATATGAATGCGACAAAATGAATCCTTTCAGGTCTTGTCAAGATTTTTTCTTGCAATTTATCTAGATTGATACAATATGAGTCATGATATTGAGTATGCTTTACAGGATTCATTTGACTTACCATTGCTTGACGAATGGGATCTTGATGGGAACTCTTCTGGATATTTCCTCTCATCCAGTGATGGTGAGGATAGTGATGGAGAAATAGTTCTTGCTCCAGTGAATGATGTTGATTTACCTTCCATTTCTGTGTCAAATAATGATGCTTTAACAGTGACCGCTCATCGACTTGCAACTCTTGGGAGGGGACGCAGGAGACATAGGCAAGTATGCAGAATTAAAGCAAGTGGTCTTGTCTCGGTTTTTTTTTTTTTTTTCCTGAAAGAAAAGTTATGTAGTTTGAACGGTAGATTGAGGAGGTTAGGGGTTGTGGCAGTATTTTTGCTAGAAACTGTGACCTTACTGTCAGTGACTACTCCATTCCAAAATGCTTAAGCTGTTAAAGGAAGGCATTGGATTGGTTTTATTAATATGACTCGAAATGGAGACTTTGTCACTTGTAGTAAAAGAGAAGATCAAAGAGGTGATATATAGTAGAAATGTTGAGAAAGGGAATTAATGTAAATGTGAGGAGATCTTCATTTTACAAATAGAATCTGCTTGATATCTTGGTCTACACTTTGAGGCTGAAAGAATTACTTCTTCCATGTTTTATGATATAAGGAAATTTCATATTCTTTGTTTCCTGGTCTGATAAAACCATCATATGTTGAATGCGATTTGTCCTTTAGCTGCACCTCGTCAATGATAAGTACTTCTTTGTTGACAATGGGAGTTTGGCTTAAGCATAGCTACTGCAACCTTGTAGGTTGCTTTTTAATTCTTAGGTGCCTTTAGTTTAGATTGATTTCTCATCAATTGGGTTTTATTTCTAACAAACCTCTAGCTTTGTAAGCTTCACCTTGATGGGGAATGTTAAGTGATATTAGGGGCTTGGGAAGCCAAGAATCCAGAAAAGTTCAATCGAGAGTTACATGTAGGACACCCAATGTAACAGTGTAGTTGTCTTTGCAGATTAATGTATCAGAATAAATAGAAGCTGAGAAGTCAGTGTAATTGAATCTTTGAATTCTATATTGTTTAATGTGCCTTCCATTTCTTCCCAAGTTTCTTAATGAAGCTGTTTTCTGCATTGTAATGCACTGGGGCTCACTACAATGATATATATATATATATATATGCATGTATGTATATAGCTGGACTTTAATTTGTTGCCTAAAACTTTGCAAATACTGTAACTGCTTTATTATGCGGGTGTACCCCGGTTACTTTGTAAGTCAGTGTCATTTATCTCTGTTCCTGCATTGGCAATTATTTTTTTCAGAATGATTTATAAGTTACTTTTTATGCTAAAGATGTAATTGATTACATTTATCTTGTCAAATCTACTGACATTTGCATTACTAGTCCTATTCTTTTTATATAAGAAGTTTCTTTTTAACTTTGCAGGAAAAAATTTGGCATTATAATTAGTTTTGGCCTCATAATCTTCTCGACAATGCTGCTTTTATACATTGATTGGTGTGCTTGGAGAATTGTTAGGCTACCCTTGCCCCCCTTTTACATGACCCGTCCATTTCTTATATCAGCCTTTTTGGCGGCTTTTGTTGGCTACATTTGCATCCCATTTTTTCAAATTTTTGAATTTATACAAGTATTTAAGAAAGAAGGGCCTGTTAGGCATCTGTTGAAAAAGAGTGTGCCCACATTGGGGGGTTTGCTATTTGTACCAATAGGAATATTTGTTACTAGAGCGCTTGGTGGTTTCTCCTCTGTTGAAGTGTTAGGGGCAGCTGGTGCAACTCTGGCATTTGCAGCAATTGGTTTACTTGATGATATATTCAGCCTCACTACAAAACAAAAGAGAGGTTTACCTGGATGGGCAAAAGTTCTTTTGGAGGTGACCAACTTTTCATTAAACTCTTTGTTTTGGATCTTTTAACATGCTTGTCTTATTCCATTTACTTGAATTTTTTTTATGGTCTTTAAACAAATCTACATTGTCTAACTGCACAGGCTGCTGTTGGAACGTCATTCTCAATTTGGTTGGATATCTCTAGCATATCATCGCCCTACGGCATGTATATCTTCTTGTACTAATCTGACCGCATTTTTCTGATGGTAACTAACATATCTGTCCCCATAGCAAGAAATTTTACGGTCAGTTTCCAAGAAGATTTTGGTCCCTTTTGTGCTTTTGAATTCTTTCAAGAATTTTAAAAAATGCATATGAAGAATTTTTTTTTTTTTCATTGACTTAACAGGTCTTGGCCCTCCTTGCCTGTGTAACCTGCCATGTTTTATCATATTTCAGACATATATTATGATTTAGGTTTTTGATGATGCAGAATCTAGCTATGCTATGACATCACTCCGTTTTATTCCTCATAGAGCTAGGAAAATGTTTAATTTCTAACTGCTGCAGCCTGCATATTGTCTTTTCTCACAGGCACTTTAGTTTCAGTGTGTATGAGTGAAATCATATCTTATTTAGAAATTCAAAGCTGACTGCTTGAACAGAAATATAGCCTGTTTCTGATGTACTTAAGTATTTTTTAAGTAATTTTGAGGGAAAATGTGTGTATTAAAAAAAAATGAAGCCATTAATTGGGTTGAACAATATGTCGCTTTTGGGATTGCTTTATAACGCTTGCCTCCCACTTTGCTCTGTCTTTTTCACTTAAGTGCAGGAAGATGCTGGTTCCTCTACCACTTGGCCTTGTGTACTTGGGACAATATTATCGACTTTTGACTTCATTTTCTTTTGTTTCCATGGGACATGGTGTTGAAATAACCAATGGTCTTGATGGACTAGCCAGTGGTATTGCTGCATTGGCATTCATTGGAATGTCGATTGCTGTGCTTCCAATATGTTCTGGTTAGTAGAATGTGTGAGGCACTCCTTAATTATCATAAGACGCGTCCATCCTGCTATTGCCTTTCATTCTTGACTTGAACATGCTTATGCTAGCATGATATACTTAACATTTTAACATAGTCAGTAAATTGTTTGCTTCGTGGGGAGGTTTTTCCTGGCCTTACTCAACCATCTTAACTAAATATCTCTTTATTGTAATTCTGTTGCACCTTCATCAGTGGAATTCCGTTCATCATCTGGATTTAAATTAGTAAAATACAACTTTGTCATTTATGACTTCATAGTTCTGCTTGCCCATTCTCACTGTTCAGGAGAGGAAATTTCAATTACCTCTCTAAGACCGGGCAGAGGGAAAGTAAACTTTCCCTCTAATTTTACAGGACACTGAAAGAAATTATTGCTCGTCATCCAAAATTTTCATGCTTTAGTATGATAGGAAGTTGTTATAATCTTGTTTTTTGTTTGGTGTATACTTTATTGATTTGTAAACATGTCAAACCAGGTCTTGCTATCTTTGGTGCTTCAATGGCTGGATCTTGTGTTGGATTTCTCCTTCATAACAGATACAAGGCATCTGTTTATATGGGTGATATTGGCTCTTTGGCACTTGGTGGTGCATTAGCTTCAATGGCTGCATGTACTGGAATGTTCCTTCCACTACTCATTTCTTCCGGAGTTTTTGTTGTTGAAGCATCATCTGTTGTGATTCAGGTTCTGCCCGTGATTTTATTGCATTTTACATTTTGTTTTCCAAAGTCTCTTTTTAATTAACTTGTCGCTTGGCCTCAACAATTCCTTCTTTTGTTACATATTATGTCCAGCCCTCTTTACATTTCAAGTTCTAGTGACACTTACATTGAGGCACAATGAATATTTACATAATTCCAATGCCACTGAATTCAAAACATTCACTGTCTAGCCCTTTAAGCTAGTGGCGGAACCAAAACAATGGTAGAAGAATGAGGAAGGGCGAGAGACAAGGTGGTAAAAAACATAGGGCTAGACTTAAAAATTCCAATGCCACTGAATTCAAAACCATTCACTGTCTAGCCTTCAAAGGTAGTGGCGGAACCAAAAAAATAGTAGAAGAGTGAGGAAGGGTAAGAGACAAGGTGATAAAAAACATAGGGCAAGTGTTATCAGGTTCAAGTTTAATTTCTGATCTTAGTAATCCATTGTTATTTAGAGTTATTAAGCCTATTTTGGATTTTTTGACTTAAGGTATTTTGAAGCTTATTAAATGCTCTTCCCACAAGTTTTTTGCTGCTTCATTTGGCCAGGCAAAAAAATTTTGCTTTTTCTTCAATGATATTTGTTTTGGTCACCGTACGAAATTTGGGTTAAATCATTCCAGAGACTATGAGGAGGTCAAAATTCAACCCAGCAAATTGCTTTCCCTTCATTCTCACTTTTTTCATGCTCCGGGAATTTTTGTTTCATGTATGCCATATGATGAAACTTAAAAGTGTGATTTTGGATGATTCTATGAAGAGCGAATTACGAGTTAAAAATCTCTGAATGCAACAGTCAAGAACTCAATGATTGATCTCTCTACAGAATCACCCTTGATTTAATTGCATGCGAGTAATGCAGAGAGAGGAGTGAAAATGAAAATGCATGTATGCTACCTTGGCATGGCTCAACTAGTAAGGGGTTGGTTGAGAACTAGAGGCCTGAGTCTGAGTTTTACATTCAAATCGTTTTCACCCAAATAAACAGAGAAATAAAGAGAAGAAAGAGTATACTGGCCTTTGATATGAATATTTACTCTATTTCTCTCTTTTCTCTCCATTGAATATAATTTTAGGTCTCATCAAATCAATTTTGGGGATTGGAAAACTTTTAGTACTTCAAGTTTTCCTCAATTACTGATATGGTCCTTGAAGTTTAATTTTTATTAATTGAAGTCTTTAAATTTTCATACCCATGCGCAATTAGTCCTTATGGTTTGAGGGGGAAATAACACCATAAGGACTAATTATGTATGGTTATGAAACTTTCAGGACTTAATCAATAAGGATTAAAATTCAGGACCAAATTAATAATTGAGACAAATTTGAGAAACCAAAAATTTCATTATCCCTAAATTTTATCTATGCATATTTGTGTTACCAATTGGGTTTTCTTCAATTTTTGGATAATACTGCTGGAGCCAGGAATTTGTGATGATATCACATTGTAACTCCAGTGAGTTTTCCTTCTTTTTTTAATCTATCAGGCGATCTACTTCAGTATAACTAAAGGTTTGCAGCGACTAAGGCGCTACTTCTTGCATATGGCTCCCATCCATCGCCATCTCCAACTATCTGGGTTCGGGGAACCGACTATTGTTGCAGGTGCATATATTATATCTTCACTACTAGCTTTGCTTGCTGGCTATGTCGGTCTGGTTTCAGCTTAACATCCTTAGAAGCTTATACGCTCATCTCTGTTATAGTAATCTGCATTCTTTTATTCATTGCACACACGCATAGAAAGAGTGGTCAAGGTTCCATAGTTACGTCGTCTTCTTCTTTTCGGGTAATGAGTTCCATAGTTACTGTCTCACAAAACTATTAGCAAGATTATCAAATTTTGGTGAGTCTTGTAATTCTGTAAGAGGTTTGTATTTAAAAAAAAAAAAATCCACAAGAGAAGCCATATTTCCACTTTCTATTTAATAATCTTCACTGCTACCTTGAACTTCTATCTTATTATGAGAAAGTATATACTTGTTATGTTATAGAATTATATATTTATCACCATTTGAATTTGAAGCCAAGTCATGTGATACGAAGTGTTGATAGTAACAAGAGAATATACACCCTTTTGATTTTATTAAAAAAACAAGAGAATATTATTCACTTATCAGTTATCATTATCATCTTTTTGTTAAAATCTTTAGAATAAAAATGTAAAAAAAAAAAGCATATAAATGTATTAGATAATTAAAAATGTTGCCAAAGTCAAACATGAAGGTAATATATTTTCAAAATGACATCACAAAATCAACTTTTGTGAGGTATGAGTTGACTTTTCTTAGCGTTGTGTGTGTGTGTGTTATTTTTTTTTTTGGGGGGGGTGTTGTGGGGGAATCAAATCTAGCTCCGGCATTGCTAGTAGACATTAAAATCCTGAAGTGTGTGTGTGTGTGTGTGTGTGTGTATTTATATATAGAACAATCGCCTTAACATAATGTTTGATTAGCTTGCTTCCCTCTCCTTGTTTGACTTGTAAAAATAGAGGGAGGGTTGGAAAATTTCCTCCCCTTAAAATTGGAGGAATTTGGAGGAAGGGTATAATTTTGTTGTCCTATGACCAATATGCCCATATTTAATTCTGCCCAAAAATACCCTCCTGAAAAAACCCCAAATCCCTTTTTTTGGGGTAAAAATTCATAAGTATATTTTATTAAACATTCATATAATTTTTTTTAAAAAAAATCCTTAATTGTGAGTACAATTGTCCATGTGTGTAATTATTTTCTCTCCTCTCTCAAAGAGAACAAGGTAACGTTAAAATCTCTCTATTCTCCTCTCCTATTGAACCAAATAGAGTAAAGCATGATTTAATATCCGTATTATTGATTTGTATATCTATGTATGAGAAATTTATTTTTGGTCTCTGAAATTGTGACAACTTAAGTCAAGATCTCTACAATTTTTTTACTAAGAAATTAATCTTTTAAATTATGGTCAACTTTATTCAAAATCTTAAGAGATGACATGTAACTATTACGGCAATAATATGTTGATGTGGTACTTATGTTTGGTGACAATTGGAACTTTGGCTAAAATTAATCACTGTTCCAGGAATTGATTGTTGTTGTTGTTGTGTGCGTGTGTGTGTAATGATCCTGCCTCAATTTGACCATAGTTTTAAAAGCCAAAATCTATATTTCCCCTCAAGATATGTAATGAAATTAAGTCGTAATGTTTATAAACTATGAAGCGTAAATCTCATTTTTCAAATTATGTATGGTGGTAACTTCATAATGGATCTGCTATATCTTATCCTGTGCCTCAAGTGCCTCGGCACATGTGCTTTAGCGGACTGTGATGTACGGGAATGGTGGCCCCAGGTTTTTTTTTTTTTTTGAAAAATGACAAGACAAAGCCTTAAACAAGAATTAAAGAAGATAACTAGCAGGTTTCACGAACTCTGATGCAAAAGATAGTTTTGCCATAACTCATCTTCTCGTTTTGTTTTTATCATGAGCATCATATGCAAACCAATCAATACAATTATTCATTTCTCTAAACATGTGATGTAATCATAAAACCTCTCAATATTTCACAATCACATCTCTGTTCTCCCCAGCAATGCACAATGCAGGGTGCTCCCTGGTTTTGGAGAACCCACGTGGAGCCCCAAATTTAAACAGCCATCTATTACACTGAAGCATGATGATATTATAAGAATCATAATAAATAATGTAATTCCAACAGTTATTCTAAATATTTCCGGTGAGAAGTATCCAAATTTGAGCATGTGCTCCTCCGTGAATCCGCACTTGAGCAAACCTATAAAGACAAATCATTGGACACAGATAGCTAGTGGCAACTTTTAATAATTGAGAAAATTAACGTGCTTTCAAACTCATACCCTCCTCATCAATTAGCCCTTTTTTTTTTTTGGTGCTGTGCTCCATCCCTTTCAATTTATAAAATGTTTTGAGGGAGATTTAGTGTCCTAAAATATAAAATATTTTGCTATTGATATTACTTTTTAAATATTATCATTCTTATTATATTTTTTAATATTCTTTCACAAATGAAATATTAAATGAAAAACATTTTTGAAGTTTATATTTTTATTTTAAAAAATAAAATTATAAAGTATATTTAATCATCTTGATTGATATGCATAATTTTATTTAAAAATATCTTACAAATTACTTCCTCTGTTTAAAAATATAAGGCATTTTTAATAGAATTTTACCCCTAATAAAATACTTACCTACTTTTAAACTAACCCTATCTTTTTATATTTATCCATATTAAGCACCCTATAATAAATATAAAGTCACTATCAATAAGGATACTTAAAAAAAAAGAAATTATTACACTTCAAAAGACTTAAAATGCCTTATATTTTTTAACATTTAATTTTTCAAAAAATATCTTACATTTTTTAACAGAGGGAGTAAGACAGAAGGAGCACCCGATGATGGAGGTTTCTGCCCTTAGAATCAATAAGGAATTTTGAATGTCTTGGAGTTCTCTGTGCACCTTATCTGCATTGTTTCACAAGTACTTTACAAAATTTAAAGAGAAAAAAACACACACATATATATTGAGGAATCTCGTGAATATGGTCCCAATTATGGGTGTAAGCATGTGAAAAGTAAAAGCAACACGAGAACAAAAATTTGAAATTCGAATGTGCTTTCCAAATATGACATGGATTTTGAGGGGCTCATTGGATTGATTTTTTCTTTTTTTTGGGTCAAATGTCGGTAACGCCACAAATTGTATGTTGATAGCTCCTGCTGCTGTTGACCTGTTGTTGCGCTTCACTGGAGCCCCACCTTTCCTACCATAATAAAAGAAAAGTACGAAAGCTAACTTTCATATCCCTTAATAGTAAATATCCTTCCACCAAAACCTTCTGCATCTCAAAAAGTGTACTCCCAGTTCATAAAATTGTTACTCCCTCTACTTTTACTTGTAGGAAAAAAAAAAAATATATATATATATATATATCACACGGCTTTAAAAAATAATTAACTCATTAATTATATTTAAAAATAAAAAATTAAATTAAAATTTTTTATTAATTATGTTAATCAGGTCTTCATTAATTATTTCTTATGACTGTTAATGATAAAATTATGAGGATTAGTTTAAAAAATTTATAATAAGTGCTTGTTGAAAAATATAATTTTACTTATAAAAAAAATTAAAATTATCAGTTTTTCTATAAATTAAAACGGGGGGATTATCATTTTAGGATTTCAATAAAATATTAATTACTACTTTAGTTTTATTTATAAGGAATTTTTAACATGTTTCAATAAAATAAACTCATTAAAACGGGGGGATTATCATTTTAGGATTTCAATAAGATATTAATTACTACTTTAGTTTTATTTATAAGGAATTTTTAACATGTTTCACTATAATTAAGAAAAACTTTAAAACTCATTAATTATATCTAAAACTTTAATAATTTTTTAATTTTATCCCTATTAGATATGCATAATTTAATAATATATTTTCTTTCTCCAACATTTAATGGAAGTCAAATGAAAAAATTTGCAATGAAAATTCAATGAGGTAACTTATAAATATAAAAAAAAAATCTTCTCCCTCTACTCTATAAATAAGAGCAGATGAAATATTTTTTTTAAAAAAATAATTCTAAAATCCTTATAGTTTTCCTATGTTTTGTACTAGGTCTCGAAAGTTTTTTTCAAATGGATCTTCTTTATTTGCGTTTGTGCGCCTAGAAAAAGGAAATCAGATGATTCTTTCTTTGTTTTCCCTTCTGTTTCTTTATTTTTAACTTTGAAATATTATTGAGGAAGAAATGTTTTAAATTAATTAATGAAATTCATTTTTAAAAATGTCATTAAAAAAAAGAAGAAATGGAGTGACGATTCTTTTTCTTGAAAATCCAAAGTATTGTTTCAACATGTATGTCACTGAATGTGCTGGAACGTCTTTCTATTTCAATTCTATGATAATAAAATTGGAAAAATCTTGAAAAAATTATAATAAATTCTGATTAATTATTTTTAAAAAAATTGAAATTTGATTAAAAAAATCAAATAAACAATTTATTTTATATCTTTTTTAGTTCATGCTGTCAAATATATTAGTCCCTACTTTTTTTGGTCACAAGAAAAGGGGAAGAGCCACTAGGAAAGACCAATAAAATCCAAAGAAAGAAAATTATTACACCGTTGAGGCGGATCCTTCAGAATTGTAAACATGTCTAAAAATAATCTCACCATCCCTAAGGAAGAAAGCTCTTGCTTCCTCAACAATGTCCCTAAAAGGATAATTACAATCACAACCTCTAAGGACTAAGGGTGTGTTTGGATTTTAATTGAAAAAAATTGATTAAGAAAAAAATTAATTATTAAAACGTGATGGTGTTTGGATAAAATTTCAAGAATTGATTATGATATTGATTTTTTCAAAATGGAACAAATTTCAGCTTGTTCAAATGAGTTTTGGAAGCCAAATGGAGTTTGGGAAAATTGAGGTGTTTGGATAAAATTTTTCAAAACCATAATTTTAAACCTAGAATTGATTCTAAAGGGTCCAAACAGGCCCTAAACTAATAGCAGCCAAGCAGAGAAAATAACAACTTCATGGTAGCCACGCTCCCTGCTAAGAGTCCATCCCTGAATGACGCCAATCAGTTCAGACACAACAGGCGGCACTGATATTACTTAGCTTGGAGCTAAATCCAACTATCCAATTGTTGTGCCTGTCACCCAAAATTTCACCGTAGCCACTGCTTCCATCAAGCATGACAGAACCAATAACATGCAGCTTGATAGATCGAAGTTATGAGGATTGAATAAAGAACGATTACTCAATAATTCCATATCCAAGGTAGCTTGAAATAGGCTAGGGAGGCCACCTGGATTCACATCCTCAGAACCCTCCCCAGGCACGAGATTACAGCGAGCAACTCAAATATCCAGCATTTGTATTTAGAAAGCAAAAGCCAAGAAACCTTTTTAGTGTATTCCTGACCAGCCTCATGTTTTAAATTCCACTTGACCCAATTTGCTCCTTGTAGCGTCAAGAAAGTCTCCTTAGAATCGTCTGAGGACAGAGAGCTTGCGATTTTTTACATTGGTGCATTGGAATCCTCTGTTGTGCTGCATCCAACTGGGCAGCTATCACTGGTTTGCATACCTCTCCTAGCTCTAAGCTCCATTGTATGCACCCTCCCATGATTAAAAAGCCACTGGTTTGCCCGTCTCCACTGGAGTTTCCACACATTATCCAGTCGCTGGTGATTACTTGCAAAAAGAAAAGGAAAAATTACTCTAAGCTACCTTGTAAGGATTTTAATTATTAAGAGACTTCATAAAATACATAAAATGCTCTCAAGTTTTAAATCTTATGTAATTATAACATGACAAAGGAAAATGACAACTTGAGTATGAGTTTAATATTAAGTTATGATTTTTTTTTTTTACCAAATTATAATTGCATGGGAATTGGGACTTGACAATGATCTGTACATTTTATGAGATTTTAAGATAATTAAAATTTGTGTGTGTAGCTTTTCAGTAAAGTTTGCGGAAGACAATTATAGATAAGTTTAACAGAAAAGAACCATCAGAAGACGACTTTTAAAAGAATTTATTATCTCCTCTCTCTCCTCGTAGGGTGGGTGCACTTGGTTCAAACGGTCAACAACATGTGATGTAGGCCAAACCAACAGCCTAGCTTATCTCTGTCCCACTCACCATTCGCCCTATAATAATCAGCCGCAAACTCATTCTTATCAATAAATCCTTCATAAACAACGATATGATCAATTAAGGGAATATCCATTTCTGACCTGTCATCCAACCAGAAGGAAGGAAGTAGTTGCACCATTGCCAATTTTCCACCCAGCTCCCCCTTTGAATTTATTCCAAACATCACAGATACTATTCCAAGGGATGAATGTTGCTTCTTTTTGGATGCACAGAATACATATGATCACCACCATAACAGCATCTAGTTTTGAAGACTTTCACTCAAAGAGCTTCCTTATTAGTCAGTAGATTCCAGCAGAGCTTCATTCCTCATTCTGTTTCTTCAAATTCTTGATACCAATGCCACCTTCAGTTTCATCTCTGCTAATCTGCATCATGCATTTTCTCATCAGAGACTTCTTCAGTTTGATCCTCCATTACTATATCCTTCGCCATTTTCTTAATATTGCCAGCCATCAAACCCTCCTCCTCTTTGGAAAAGCCTCGACCTTCTTCGCCGGACGTTTCCTCAGTCGTGACCGTCTTTCCTGAATCATCACCCTTTCTCTCAGCACTCTCCCCAGGTAATTTGAAAGCAAGAAAGCCTTTTCACTAAACCTTTTCCTCCCCTAATTTTACAAATATTAAATTATTTATATTTTGAAGTAAGATTATATGGGAGAAAAAAATGCCTATATTTTGAATTGTGGGAGTATGATATATATTGCTCGAATTTCGAAAAGTTAAAAACCGCCGCATCTCAACGAATTTGCTTTTTAACTTTCTTATTGGATTGCCAATAACCACCAACCCAACAATGATCGCCCACGTTCACTTTTACACAGACTTTTACGAGACGAAACAAAACAATGAATAAAAATACCTGGCGGTCCCATTTTTCCAACACCCAAATTCAAACAAATGAATTAATAAAAAAACAAACAGACATGGGACAACCTCCCCGTTTTCCCCCTTGCCTTGTCACTGACAGCGACAGCTTTGGGGGAAAAGATTAAGTAACGGGAAGAAGAATTTGAAAAAAAAAAAACCTACAATAAAAATAGTTTAAAAAATAAAAAATAAGAAACTCACGTAGAAATTAGAATATAACAGGAGGGTACTTTCGTCATTTCGTCAATTCAATCTGTGGGAAGAAAGGATATCGCGTGCATCGCCTCTTCAGGTAAACCTTGCAATCGTCCTTTGGGCAAATTGTAGGAACGTAAGCGATTTCATCGCAGCCATCCGATCTGTGCCTCTTGAAATCCATCAACGACGCAAACAATGCTATGAACAGAACCAGGTGGTTGAGAGCGTATCTCTGCCCCACGCACTGGTGCGCCCCGGCACCGAAGGCCAGGAAGTTCCTTTTGAATATTTGATCCTCTTGCCTCCCCTCCGAAAACCGGTCGGGGTCGAACCGATCCGGTTCGGTGAAGCCCTGGAAGGAAGAATCGAATGCGGATGGGAATACTATGCACCCTTTGGGAATCGTGTAACTCTCCGTCAACGGGAAAGCCTCCGCGGCTATGTGCGGCACCAGCGTCGCCGGCGGCCTGTATCTCACAACCTCACGCGCCACAGCTTGCGTGTACTTCATCTCCCTCAACTGCTCCGCAGTTATCAGAGTATCGCTCTCCGGAGACCACACCCCAGCCACTTCCTCCCTGACCTTTGACAAAACGTCTGGGTGCGAATCGAGCAGCGCGACCGCCCACAGAAGCGACGAGGTGGAAGCATCCTGTGCCGCGAAGAGAAAATCGAAGAGATACCCGCCTATCTCGACGTCGCTGGAGTACGGCGGCGGCGGATTTCCGGCGGCCTTGTTCTCGGCAATCTCCCTCAGTGTGTCCTGCATCCAGTAATCTATCAAGCACAAAGGATCTTCGCCTCCCTCCATCCTCTTCTTGCTGTGCTCCGCGCACGTCCCTAGGGTTTTGGCCAGTCGGTCAACGGCGAGTCTGGCGTTTCGAAACGCCGTCCCGGGAAAATCGATAGGCAGTTTCATGAGCCCAACATTGAAGTGAAAATAATCCTGCTTAAACCTCTCTCGGGCCTCCAGGCCCAAATAGGGGCCCACGAACACCGTCTGAGAAGTTTCCAGATTCATATCCCGGGCCAGAACCCGAAGCGCAATCGGGTTCGGTGCATTCTCCGACGAGAGCTTCTCCCATATCTTGAGGTGCTTGAGGATGATAATCTGCTGCAACGCGGTGTATGTAGAGAGAGCCTTGGGGGTGAAATTCGGTGCGATCCGACGGCGGAGGTCCTTGTGTTCTTGGCCCATCATGTAGATGAGATTGTGTTCGCCGAAGAGCTTCTTGCCGAACGGGTGACCCACCAAGTGAAACGCATCAGGTCGAACGTTCGCGAAGACCTTATGAGAGAGTTCGGTGTCGCGGATAAAGAGGACGAACTTGCCGATGATGTAGTTGGCGGAGAATCCCAGATTGGATGACTTGGCGAGAGCCGATTGGACGTCCCAGAACTTGGTGGGGCTGCGGACCAATGAGATTGCGTTGCCAAGGAAGGGAAGAACCAGAGTAGGCCCAGGTACGAATCGCTTCTTTCTCAGGTACGAGATCTGTTCCAAGAGAAGAAGAAAGAGGACGAAACAGATGAAGTAAGGAGCCAGGTGAGCGAGGCTGAGGAAGATGGTCATTTTCTGGCGAGGTAGGGAGGAGAGAATTTATTGCACCAGACAGGGCAAGCACCGTTCAAAGAATGAATTGGGTGGGAAAACTCAAAGTGTGTTGCTAAAAGAGGAGAAAGAAGCGAAGGTCAAAAATGTGGAATGATGAGGTCAAAATTCCCAGAGGAGGGAAAACAAGAAGTTGAAATGGTGGGGATGGAGGAGATGGGTTGGGATTTGGAGTTGCAGACGAATTGGAATTTGCAGATTCAGGAGAAAGAGAGAGAAAATTGAAAGGAAAAAAAAGAAATATGGCGGGATTGGAGGCTGAGGGAGGTGGGGTTGAATTCCAGCTGGTCAAGGGGTAGGGAGTGACGTGGGTTTGGTTTCTTTTGTTGCAAAAGCAAATATATAAACATGCACACTCTCAAACCTCCTCCTGTTTTTTGCCAAAAAATAAAAAATAAAAAACCTCCTTATTTTTTATTTATATTTTGCCTTTTCGCAGGGTATTCGAGGGAGAATCAAAGGTTAGCTGTACTTGTTAAGGGTTAGTTGTCCTTATAATAAGGGAGAATTATATTCTCACTCGAAAAAATTATTTACAAACAATAATTAATATAAAATAAATTATTATTAAAATAAAAATATAATTTTTTTAAACGAGACTTACTGTTAATTTATATTTATAAATAATTTTTTTAAGTAATCCTTAAATGTGAGTCTTTCTAAAACCAATGCCATGTTTTTCACTTCTTGTTTGGAGAAAGCCTTGAATTCGAATCAAACGTTAACATATTTATTTGGGGCGGCTCTCTATCTGATAAAAAATGACTAGGTTCGGATCTTAGGGGTATAGAAAGTCAGTATTCAATAGTACAAACTGTAATTTAATCGAATTAACTTAAGGGTTGTTAAAATAATATGATGTAATTAGAATATATAAAAATATTTATATATAATTTTAAAAAGAGTAATATTTAAATAAAAAATGATTCATCTAAATGTAATTGAAATATTCAAGCATGAACTACATATAATTTAACAAAACAAGGTTACCAGACTACAAATTTGATATTTAAATAAAAAATGATTCATCTAAATGTAATTGAAATATTCAAGCATGAACTACATATAATTTAACAAAACAAGGTTACCAGACTACAAATTTGATATAGATTACTATTTTTTAACATTGTCTTTTCAAACTTAGTAAAGGAAGAAAACATAAAAAATTTAACATGACCGGGCCAGCTAAAACTCTTGACCAAACTATTAGTTCACAAATTCACCTGTTTGACCAGCCAACTCGAATTAAATTTTAATACTGTAATTTTTGGTTTTATTAAATTAGATTTTTAGTATTGTTCAGCTCACAAAAAATACTTAATACTCCCTCCGTTTGTTACTATGAGGTCATTTTAAGTAAATTGCATAGAATAAGAAAGGAAGATAAAACAGTTAAAATTTTTTTTTCCCAAAAACTATTATAAAATTTCAAGATTATCATGATTAAAGTCATTAATTTATTTGACAAATTTAATTAGATCACCTTGATTTTTCCACTTTATGAGGGATATTTTAAAAAGAAACTCATAAATGCTTTGCTTACATATTAAAGAATGTAAAAATTTCACAACATCATGAACAAAATTTTGAATATTTATTGAGAAAGGTATCGATATTTAATATCCGACTGTGGTTTCAACAAGGTTACCTCAAAGATGCTTGTAAACAATTGCGAAATATATATATATATATATATATATGAAAATTTCTAAGTGACCCTTCTTTATTTTGGACGAAATAGAAGTGGTCTAATAATAAGAAATAGAGACAAACCATCCAGTCTTTTCTAGCATAACTTTTACTTTGATCAATTTTTTAAGCATAACTTAAAAAGTACTTTTCTGTTTAAAAATGAAATTAGTTTACTTGAGATTGTTTTGGTGTTGCGGTTGCTTTAATTTCCTGGCACTAAAAATAAGAATAAACTGTTGGCTTAATAATCAAGATAAAGGATCGCAAACTCTCGATAGTTTTGTTTGTATATTATTGTTCCCTTATTGTAATGGAAGTTCTTGCTTATTTTATTGGAGGCATAGCCACAATTATATTGTGGCAACAATTTAATTTCTGTATAAACAATAGTTTTAGGTGAATACAAACTATTCATGCATCCTAATCCAACTCAATTTTTTAACGATTTCTTGTCGTCAAGAAATTTTTATTTTCAATAGCTTTCTTAATCAGTGTAACAACTCTGTTCTTCAATCTCCATCTACTTTCTCTGAGTATATTCATTCGTTTTGTGGATTATGTCATGTTTCCTTCCTATTTTTTGTGTTAAATATTTAGTTCAAGATAGCAAGAGATTTATAATTTCGCAATACGTTGACAAGATATGAATTCCACAAACTTAATTTGAACGCAACGCATAGAGGCGTTTTTCTCAATTTCTTGTCCTTTTAGAATACTCCATTATCTTTATTTGCGTGTGATTTTCTCTTGTTTATATTCCGTTCACTGAAGATTGTTGAAGTTTTTTTTTTCTAATTTAAAAATTTTATTTCTAGAACTCGTAAACAAATGGAACAAAATGATTTACAAAATAAGTTTCTGATCAAATTAAAAGAAATAGAAAATAAATCATATAAATATTCTGTCCTTTTTATTTGATTGCTAAGTATCCTAAAAAATTTAAGGGTATTAATGTAATCATATGTGCAGACTAACCTGAATTTCTACCATGTAAAACTGTTACTATTAATGACGGCCTCATGAATATTTTAGAATTGTCTTTGATATTTTTATTTAATAAGAAATAAGTTGATTCAATTCAATTGCTTCATTTTATTAAATCATGCGTGCTTAGTATGATACAACTATTCTATGTGGCGTCGTTTTCCAGTCTTCCTCGTTGATTTATGCATGTGGCGGAAAGCTATTTTCCTTTGATGGCTTTGACTCTTCGTATGCGTTTCATAATGGAAAAATAGATCTCTCGATCATTCGAGGATCTTGAAATTATAAGATTTAAAAAATTAGTCAATATATCACTAGAAAATAGCAATAATTGTAAATTTTAGTATTCATAAATTATGAATAATTTGGGAAAAGTATTATATTTTAATTTTAATTTTTTACAAATTTAAAAAATAAATTAAAAATAAATGTCCACCAAACAAAATATTGGATTTTTCTGGTTTTTTTGGGGGGGGGGGGGGGGGCGGGGGAACTCATGTTATGCGATAGGTTAGGCAAGAGCTTTCTTCCTGCCAAAAGAATATTTTCATTTGTTTTTCAAGTTTTAATCATTTGCTCAATAGGAATTATCATTTTCTATTCTTAAGTGGTCACTGCTCTTTACATGTTGTATTTTACTGGTTAAAAAATTGCAAAAAAGACAAAGGGTACTTGTAATTTGTTATTATATTTAAGTTATTTCATCAAGAGAAGTTATTATGTTATTCTGTATTTTTAAGTAGTCACTGTATTTTATATATTTCATTTCAAATTTTTAATTGAAGGAAAATTTATCATTTGCAAAAACTAATATACAAGACAAGTTTTTTAGGGATTACATAATAATTATTACATTTTATAATATTAAAAAATTGTAATAATAAAAAATGTCTAAAGGATTATAAAAATAATATAATTCATAATAATTTTTAATAAAAAATAATGACATAAGAAAAATATTATTCACAAAAAAATAAAAAAAATTGCACGTGTTCAAGCAAGGTAAAGTTTGACCTCTATTGATGCTTAACCTCATGTACTCAAACGCTTCGAGCAAGGTCGAGTTGATCAAGCATTCAGGTATAGTACATAGACCTTTATTGTATTTCTTTTGCTCCTACCATCTCTCTTTATCACATCTTTTAGTACTATGACTCTATTATGTTTTTCTTTTGTACAATAAGAATGTTTGCGTAAATAGCCCTATTATTGGCTTTCTCATTTTATTCTTAATTTTTGAGTATCTTGTTTAACTATTAATTTTAATTATTATTTTTATTGGATAAATATTATAATTATTTAATGGTATTATTATTATTTTTAAATTTAGTCATGTAGGTAATATTGAAAAAAAAATTAAATCAGTCCGTTCCATTCATTTTATAATTATTTCCAAACAATGATCATGTAAAATCATTTCTTCCCATCATAGAATTCCCAAGCAATGAAAAAAAAAAATTCTATTCCACTCTACTCCAATTGATTCCATTCCATTCCATTAATGATTTTTTTTTTCATTCAATCATAAACTCCCAAACGCACTTTTAACGTGTAATTATTGTATTTTTTTTAAAAGCACGTCTATTAAATAAATTACTTTGTATTTATTTTAAAATTAAATATTTTATTAAATAAGAATAAATATAAAAAAATAAAATTAGTTTAAAGACAAGTAATTACTTTATTGAGGAATAGAATTTAGTTAAAAATGTCTTACATTTTTTTATGAAAGGAATATAAGGTGTTTTGGGTTTTTAACTATGCAATTAATAATTTTTTTAAAAAATACTCTTAATTAAAATATGTAATTAAAAAAATTTAATTGAGACACCTTATTAAATAAAAATAAATTTAAAAATATATGTAATTTTAAAAATAATTAACCAACTCATTAAAAGATACAGTTCGATTAAAAATGCTTTATAATATTGAATGAAGTGAGTAATTCAAAAAAAGTTAGTTGAAATATTAATATTTTAAAAAAATTTTAGACATTTTTAATTATACTCTCTTTAGATGTCTTATATGAGTGTCTTAATAATGACGAATAAAAATCTAATTGATCATTTTTTCAAAAAAAAGCTAATATATGAAATAAAGACATAGTTGAAAAAAAATTAGAATAACTACCCAATACCTTTTATTTTAGATCAAACCAGGTCTATAGAAAATGTCATATGGATTGGAGGGAGTGAGTCACTCCTGAGTACTTCACATAGTCATAAAAAAAGTAGTTAAATTATTGATATTGTATGAAAAACAAGAATTTCTCAGTTTACCTTTATTAATTGCATAATTTGTAAAAATATTTTATTTCTTATATATAATATTTTGCTCTGTTATAGAAAATCATGAAGGAGTAGAACTGAAAGAAATTAATTAATAATTAATATTTTTTATGTAAAATGACTTAAAGAGAATTATCAATTCATTTTAGAATGTAGCCTATATGTACAGCCTCCTGTTGTATGACTAAAATATTAAATTGTCAGAATTTGTGACTAGCAAAAACAATGCTGGTCAATCTTATAAATTATATTCTCAGGCGGAAAAAAAAATCTTATAAATTATAATTATTCCCGTCCTTATATACTATATTTCCTCATTGTCATATCCTGTCAAT